GAACGTGCGGACGTGGCTCTTCATGCTGAACAACTACTTCGCCGCGAGCGGGGTGCAAGAGGTGGACGCGCAGCAGCGGATCGAGTACGCTGTTACACTGCTGAGGGGCCCGGCCTTGGAGTGGTGGCGCCAACTCACTCAAACTGCTGTAAGAAGGGCTCAGACGGACGGGCATCAACAGGGCGTGGGGCATGCAGCTGCAACTTCGAGCTTAGGGAGTTTAGCTTTGGGTGTTACCACGGTTCCAACCACATGGGAAGGATTTGAAGCGGCGCTGAAAAGTAGGTTCGATTTGGTGAACGCCTCCGAAGCTGCTAGGAAGCGTCTGCGTCATTTCCGACAGATAGGCAACGTCCAGGAGTACACACGACGGTTCTTGAGCATCTGCAACGAGATAGACGATATCACGGAAGCAGAGATGCCAGAGTAGATCGCTACCTCGAAGGGTTGAAGCCGGACATAGCGGAAGTCATTGCGATTCACGGGTTGTCCACCTTCGAGTCGGTAGTCGCAGCAGCAGAACGCGTCGACGCAGTACGAAGCCGACGAGGTCGTGACGATCGCGATAGGGGATACAACAGACCGATCAACGACGCTCGATCGAGGGACGGACCATCGCCCATGGAGATTGGTGCAGTTAACAGTGACGGCTCACAGAAAATGGGATTTAGGGGGAACTGTCACTACTGCAAAAAGCCGGGACACATGAAGCGAGACTGCCCACAGCTTAAGGAGCGGCAGCAGGGAAACGGAAACCGCCAGTAGATAGCGGGTCGCTAGCTGGTGTGGAGGTTCCCGTACCCGCCACGTCTACCAACGTAGAGGAGACGGCTTTGCAGCAGTTACCTACGGAGAACGAGGTAGACACTGTTGATCGTCCAGTCGTGCTTCTAGGGAAGCTTCGCGGAGTTCCTGTTAAGATTCTCGTAGATAGCGGAGCTAGCCACTCGTTCGTCTCTTCATCGTTAGTTTCTCGTCTCCATCTCGAAGCAGATTCAGCAGTCAACTTCAAGGACGCTCGCATGGTAGATGGGACGCCACTTCACATAGGACCGATCATCCGCAAGTTGCGCGTAGTGCTAGGACCGATCACAGTCAGGCGTGATTTCGACTCTGCGACGCTGGACGGATACGATTTTATCTTCGGGAGAGATTGGCTACGGACGGTTAGTACTCAGTTCGATTGGGCTCAGGGAAGCTGCAGCGTCAAGGTAGACGGGGAGTTCCGGGAGCTGCCACAGTGGAGCGATGGGGCCACATCATCCATAGCTATCATTAATGCTGTTTGTGTGCGACAGTTAGTGAAGCGTGCGGCACGGATCTTCGCGGTTTTTCTTGAGGAGGTGGAAGCTGAGGAGGGGAAAGGAGGGAGTGCAGCAGTTAGTGAGAAGGCGACTCTTCCTGCTGAGGTGAGTGCACTGTTAGCAGAGTTCGCAGACGTCTTCCCCGACGAGTTGCCCCCAGGGTTGCCTCCCAGCCGAGCAGTAGACCATCGAATAGAATTGGAGCCGGGGAGCAGGCCAGTAGCGAAGCCGCAGTGGAGGTTGAGTCCAGCGGAGACAGAGGAGATGACGCAGCAAGTTAGGCATTTTCTCGCACAGGGTTTCATACAGCCATCTAGATCGCCTTGGGCCGCACCGATACTTTTCGCACCCAAGAAAGACGGAGGGTTACGGATGTGCATAGATTACCGCGCACTGAACGCTGCCACCGTAAAGAATAGATTCCCGGTGCCGAGAGTAGAGGATCTTCTCGATGCAGTGCAGGGCGCTAGAGTCTTCTCAAAGATCGACCTTCGTTCGGGTTACCACCAGATTCGAGTAGTTCCAGAGGACCAGCACAAGACGGCGTTTCGTACGAAGCAGGGGTTGTACGAGTTTAGGGTTCTACCGTTCGGATTGACCAACGCCCCAGCGACGTTTCAGACGCTCATGAACACAGTCCTCTCCGAGTTCCTAGGGTCGTTCGTTGTCGTTTACCTAGACGACATCCTAAGACGAAAGATGAGCACGTGCAGCACTTGCAGAAGGTCTTCGAGGTCTTACGGAGGGAGCAGTTATACGCTAAGCAGTCGAAGTGCGAGTTCTTCCTTCCAGAGGTCGAGTTCCTAGGACACGTCGTATCCGCTAGTGGCATTAGAACTGACCCGAAGAAGATCGCAGCAGTACAGGATTGGGTAGCACCGACCTCAGTCAAGGAGTTGCAGAGCTTCCTCGGTTTCGCGAACTACTACCGTCGTTTCGTTCAGGGTTACGCATCGATCGCTAGTCCACTCACCGACCTACTTCGGAAGGGCGTAGAGTACGTTTGGGGTCCAGCGCAGCAGCAGGCGTTCGAGCAGATGAAGCAGTCGCTCACGTCTTCACCGACACTGTCGTACCCTGATCCCACTCGCCCATACGTTGTAGTGACCGACGCTTCCGATCAGGCCATAGGAGCAGTGCTTCTTCAGGACCAGGGACGCGGGTTGCAGCCGATCGCGTACGAGTCGCGTAAGCTTAGGGGAGCGGAGTTGAACTATCCCATACACGACAAGGAGGCGCTCGCGATCATCCATGCGTATAAGGTGTATAGGTGCTACCTAGAGGGGGCAGATAGTGTTATACGCACGGACCACTGTTCGCTTCGTTTCCTCAAGTCGCAGCCGCAGCTGAGTCGTCGCCAGGCTAGGTGGATGGAGTTCATGGAAGGGAGCTTTCACTACAGGATAGAGTACAAGCCAGGCGTGCGCAACCCAGCAGATCCGCTCACTCGCCCTAGTTGTCAGCTCGCCAGTCTCACAGTCACTGCTGGCCACCCACTTCTCACAGCACTCTTCGAGCACGGTTACACAGTAGATCCCGACTTCACACCGCAGCCGCCCGCAAGACAGAGGTGCAGGGTAGTGTCTACATACGGAAGGGTACCGCACGGATTTGGGTTCCAGCCTACCGCCCTCTTCGACAGCTCCTTCTCTCAGAGGCGCACGACGTAGTTAGTGCAGGGCACTTCGGAGCAGATAAGACGGCTAAGACGCTTAGTCGCACGTACTACTGGCCCGGGCTTGCAGCAGACGTAGAGGATTACATTCGCTCGTGCGACACGTGTCAGCGTACGAAGTCCTCTCGCCAGCGCAAAGCAGGACTCTTGCAGCGGATTCCACCGCCCGACCGCCCTTGGCAGGTAGTTACCATGGACTTCATCATGGCTTTACCGCGCACAGTTAGGGGTCACGACGCCATCTTCGTAGTAGTGGATAAGTTTTCTCGAGCAGCGCATTTCATCCCCACGCACGGCAAGGTCACAGCAGAGGAAGCCGCGACGCTGTTCGTAGATAACGTAGTCCGACTGCACGGGGTTCCAGATTCCATCATCTCAGACCGCGACCCTCGTTTCACTTCGAAGTTCTGGAAGCAGCTTTTCGCACTGTTTGGGACTCGCTTAGCCATGTCGTCTGCGTACCACCCAGAGACAGACGGACAGACCGAGCGTGTGAACCAGACCTTGGAGCAGATCCTTCGCAGCATCACGATGCACGACGCAGCTGCATGGGACAAGAAGCTGAGCATGGCAGAGTTCGCCTACAACAACACGCACCACTCCGCCACAGGCATGTCACCGTTCTTTGCACTTTACGGTCAGCACCCCAATGTCCCCACTCGTGTCGATCTCACACCCACAGTCCCTCGTGCGGACAACTTCCACCAGCATCTCACCTTCATTCATGATCACGTGAGAAAGCACCTTGAGCTCGCAAATGCACGCATGGCACGCACCACCAACCGCAGTCGTCGTGAGGTGTCGTTCGCAGCCGGCGACCGTGTTCTCTTGGATAGTCGCAACCTCCGACTACCACAGGACAGCAAGCTTCGTCCACGTTTCATTGGTCCATTCGTCATTGAGCGCGCACTAGGTCCAGTCGCATACCGCCTTCGCCTTCCCGCACATTTCCGCATGCACCCGTCATTCCACGTGTCTCTCCTTCGCCCATACACCGATCCCAATGCCACCTTCTCGGGCCGTGATCGCACTCCACTGCCGGTAGCTGTTGACACCGACGAGCCCGACTACCAGATCCAGCGCATCCTCAGGCACCGTCGCCGTCTCCAGGGGGGTGTCACTTTCATCGACTTCTTGGTTCGTTGGCGTGGTTACGACGCAGCAGACGACAGCTGGGTTCCTTCGTCCTCGCTGTCTCCTGACAACGCTTGCCTCCAAGCGTACCTTCAGTCTGCAGGCGCCGCGGACGTCGCCTCCTTGGGCGGGGGGTAGTGTTAGAGGGGTGTTTACTGTTCATTCCGAACAGTACATTCCTAGTCACCATTATCCTTATCTTCTCAGATTCTCTAGTGCCACGTGGCACTCTACTTTTCTTGCACTCCAATTCTTGGTCCCACATTCCACTTTCCAACCTTGTTTCTTGCATGCTATATAAACCTTGCTTGTACTTGCCATTATCAATCAATTCTCATTCAACTCTTCTTCAATTACTCAGTAACTTCTTCGCCTATTTCGCCAATAGTTCTTTCGCCAAAGTCTTCCGCCGCGTTTCATCCTCGACTTAGTCGACCCCGCTAATTCTTTAGCGGACTTAGGCCGTCGGGCCTAACAGTCACCACAGAGCACATGCTCTACAACCTACATAACCAACCTACCCAGACTGGAAATTGCGCGGCGCCAATCTGTTTTTTCATCGGGTTCCCCCCAGACTGTTTTCGACCGTGTTATGGGAGATTGTGGCCGTTTGGAATTGGCGCATGAACGTTGAATACGGAAGCATGTGATTGGTTGGAAGTTTTCTCACTTGTTTTTCGCACAATGAGACTGACATCGCATGGCACGTGTGGTGGGTGTGCAAAATACCCAGGACTGCCACGCTGGACCAATAGTGCAGCACTCTGAAGTTCCCCCATCTCAGGAACGCCATCTTAGTACAACCACATTCTTTATAATATTCGGTACGGGATTGTGTATTACCTCCTCCTTTCTGCTATTGCAGGGCTTCCCTGGCTTTGCCTGCCATGTCGCCTGTACACTCAGCTCGAGCGTTCGTCGCGGCGCTGGGCCTGTGCACGCTCGTAGCCGTGGTGCACACATGCCTCACCGACGGCTCGCCCTTCCGATGGGCCGTGCTCACCCCGTACGCCCTCGCCTGCCCTCCACCCTCCCGGCTTCAAACGTCGCTCATAGCATCGCCTCGTCGCGCTCCGTCCCATCGACTTCATCGCTCATCGTGCGCCTCGCGTTCGTAGTCCATGCTCGTCCTTGCAACTCCTAGTAACTCTCCGCCGCTGCCCCGTTTTCTTGCTTCCCATCCCCCCGAACCCGGCAATTTCCTTTCCGGTGGCTTTGCGCGCTCGCGCGGCGACGTGTGGCGGCGAGCGCAGGTGGATGCGCGCGACGCTGGTGGACTTCTACGTTAACGTCGCCGTCATCGCGGTGCGCCTTGCCCTGGCCCCGCCGCGTGATGCACGGGGGGGATGGGAGAGAAGGGCGAAACGGATGAGAAGGGGGGGGGGCGTAAGCGGAGAGAAGGGAAGGATTGCACAAAGGATGGGAGGGGGTGGTTGGGATAAATTAAAGGAGAGGTAGGGCAGGATAGGGTCGGAATGAGAAGGGAGGGAATGCGGGGAAAGTGTGGTGTGGGAAGGGAAGGGAAAGAGGAAGAGACAGGATAAAAAGGAGAGAAGTGGTGGAGGGCAACGAACTATATATGACAAGGTTGTAGGGAGGAAGGAGCGTAGCATGACCTGTTATTGCATTCTGGGCGTGTATGTGTTGGGATTGGATTCTCGTTGCCAGCATCCTCAACGCCCATGGCCTGTCTCCTCCCTCCTCCACGGGTGTGCGTGTGTGTGTACGGCTAGTGGAGAGGCAGGCGTGGGTGTGCTACAAGGAGACGTCATGGCTGGCGCGCATAGTGTGGGTGGCGCTGCTTGTCTGCTTCGGAAGGTGCGCACCCTGCTCTGCGCAGCACGCCCCCTGACATGTCCCATGTGTTCTTGCAGCTTCTTCCCTTTCTTGTGTCTCATGCCCTGACGACTGACAGTTATCGTTGTTAGCCAGTTTTATCCCCCCACTCGACTGCCCTTCCGTTCCTCTCGCTCACTTCCTCTCGCCTATCACGCCCGCAACCCCAATCCTCCCGCGACCAGCATGGCCACGTGTGTGTACGTGGTCATTCAACTCTTCGCCCTCGCGCCCTCGGATCCCCTCTACAGCCTGCTGCTACGGGAGCACCATTTCAGGTATGTCCATGAAGGTGGGTGGAGTGGACTGGAAGCCAAGGTACAGTGGAATGAAAGGGCTGTCAACGTGGGCACGTGGATCTACAATGCTGCGAGATTCACAAATCCATCCTTTATTACTTGCATGGTTTACTTCCCTGCTGCTCTACCGAAATTATTTGAAATTCAGTCATCGACCACCCTTTTGACTGGCCGTGTACCACCTGTTACCACGCCTTGTATTCGTTGCTGTTTGGTACTGCTTAGGGCTTCTGTGCATTCCAAACAATGTTGGTACCTGTACTCCGCATAATATATGCCCGATTTCTGCCTCTTGTTTCTGTGTACCTTCCCTGGTCATTCATCTCCAAAGCATCTTAGTAGCACGGAGGACATATAGCCATCAATAGCCAGCTTGCCTTGGGGTCAACCATGGTCTTTCCACACGTGCCCATTCCCTGGGCCAGTGCAGATTGATTCATGGCAGCCATGCTGCACACGGCCTCTTGTGAAGCTCATCAGGCGCTGGAGCTGCTGCAGGCAATGATTCACGGTATGAAGCCAGCCTCTTGGGTGCAAGGAAGCAGTGCTGTGTGCAGGGGCAAGTCGACGAGGAAGTTGACTCCAGTGCTTAATGCACTGGAGGAGGGCATCAAGAAAACAGGACCCCATGGTCATTGGCCCTAGCAGGTTGTAATTTCAACCAGTCACTCTTGCAATTCGGCTTGTGTGTATACCGCGATAATCACTTGCATTGCAAGCTCCTCAATAAGGGACCCTCCCTCCTCCCCCATGTACGGTACAATACAAGTCTCATGGGGCTCTCCTCCTTATCTCAAGGTCGTCATTGTGGCAGTCCAGGAGGACATATCTCTTGATACGGCATTGCTTTATAATACAGCTCTATACAAACCTCATCTTTAAGGGTATAACACTATGGGCCTACAGCAGTGCCCAAATTATCAGGGTAAAATACCGTCATACCCGGATAAGCCCCCATGGGGGGCACTAATAAAACATGTTTTTTTTAGGGGGTGGGCTTATACTATAGCAAAATTATAAGCGCCGGTGGTTATGTTCTGTCAAAAATGAAATTTGTTTTTAAATATACCAAATCGAATCATTCTCAAAGGCGAATTCACCTAGTCGAGAACGTTCGAAATTGTGCATGCTTTGCGCGTGAAACGGCCAACAAGGCGTGGCATGACGCCTTCCACGCCTTGTTGGTCAGGCCAGGTTCATCGAACGTGAACCTGGCCCATGCCAGCGCACACGTACTTCGCATCACAGCGGCCCAATCATGGTTGCATGCGATCGTGGGCACGTCATGGTTCAGCCACGACGTGCCCATCAACATAAAGATTCCCTGCGACAGAGGCAAAGAGCTTCCTAGCTCAGCTCCTCTGCGGGGAATCTTGACTGTGGCTGGACTTTCCCCGCACAGGAAGCCGGGCCGCAAAACTGAAGGGGTCTCGGGCGAGGGCTTCATACGGCCCTCATTCTCAGCTTTTGATTCAGTTTTCTTTGTTCGTTTGGCCTGCCGTGGCCATGGCGGGCCTTCCAGGCTTTCATTTCTTGTTCCGCCGCCAACCTGCTGCTAGAGAAAGTACCCGCAGAGACACCCGTGACTACTCTCAATGGCAGTCGCGCCCTGCGCCCGTCCCTCCATCACAACCAGTAGTGCCTCCCGTTCCTCCCACTCCTCCTACGCCGCCTACCCCTCCCGCTCCCCCGGCGCCTCCTATTCCTCCCGTTCCTCCGGCCCCTCCCGTCCCGGCTGCTTTTGGTGTTCCGGGACAGGGGGTTCTGCAGCTTCTCCTCCCGCCTGGCTACTCGGCGTTCGACGCCTTCCTGTCCGACCCTGAACGCAGCGGCGGCGAAGGATCTTCCTCCGCACCGGAGCCACGGTGGGGAGCGTCGGCTGATTGCCCGTTGGACGAATCCGCAACCGGTGCAGACGACGACGTGGAGTTCTGGGCTGCTGACGGTCTCCCCGAGCACCTTCCAATTCCCTCCTTCCCCCCTCCGAATAAAAAAATGCCCCACCCATCTCGCGATAATCGTGATGCCCGTCCTCCCTCCCCCAGGCACAGGCCGACAAAGCACAGGCGCAATTCCTACACCTTGCATGAGAAGCTGCAATGGATTCTGAAGCTCGAAAACGGAGAGATGAGTGTGCGGCGCATGTCTCGCGAATCCAGCATCTCTCGAAGGTGTCTCACGGAGTGGAAGAACCGCAAAGCTGAGCTTGAGGGCGCGCACGGTGCACGCTGTCGCCTGCACGGCCGCGGAAGGTGCTCGTGGTATCGGGACATGGAAGCGGAGGTGTACCGGACGTTTCTCGCCCACCGCAAGAAGTGCCTCGCCGTCTCGATCGCACGACTGCAAATGTGGTCGCACGAGGTGATGAAAGAGTTACACCCAGGTGAAAAGTGGGCCGGCTCTCAGCGGTGGACTCAGCGCTTTCGCCGCCGCTGGAACCTGACGACCAGAGCGAAGACCCGGGTCGGCCAGAAGCTCTCGTCAAGTGAGTTATTTGGTGGTGTTGTTGTTTGTATGAACCGTCTATTCACGGCTCTCACCCTGTGTTTGTGCTTTCTGTTCCTCCCATCCCGTGTCCTAGACTGCGAGACTGATGTCAAGAGCTTCTGGACGTACGTGCGTCACTCCCGCCGCCAGTACAAGATCGACCTGCCGTGGATCTTAAACGCGGACCAGACGCCCCTCTGGCTCGAGATGCCATCCGAACGCACCGTTGAAGAGGTTGGCTCGCGCTCCGTGCCCGTCCGCAGCGGCGGCTACCAGAAAGAGCGGGTTACCATGATGCTCGCCTGCACCACCAGCGGGGAGAAGTTGAAGCCGTGGGTCTTCTTCAAAAGGAAGACCGTCTCGAAAGGAGATTTTCCTTCAGGTATGAAGCACACGTCGATTACGCGGTGGCATGTTCATGTCAGGTAATAAACGTACGGTAACTAACATCGTCGTTTTGATGTTGTGCAGATATCCACGTGGGGGTCCATCCCAACGGTTGGATGGACGCGGACGGGGTCATCGAGTGGCTGGACGGGGCGGTGAAGCCGTACATCAACCCCAAGTTCGGAGTCCGTCCCCGCAAGGCTTTGCTCGTCCTCGATTCGTACAGCGGGCACCTGACCCCGGAGGTGAAGAAGAAGTTTGGCGAGCTCAACCTGGTCCCTGCGGTTATCACTGCTGGCTGCACCTCGGAGATTCAACCCCTCGACGTCGCGGTTAACCGCTCCTTCAAGGCCGCCGTTCGCCAGCTCTACCAGGAGTGGTTTGAGCGTGAGGGGGTCGACACCTTGACGAAGAAAGGTGAGAGGTGCAGCACTGATTATGTTTTTATTTCTTTAACCCGTGCTGACCCGGTTAGTGGATTTGCGTGGCAGGCAACATCAAGAAGCCTCCTGTCGAGCTGACGCTCAAGTGGATCTCGGCGGCCTGGAAGTCCGTGCCCAAGGAGCTCATTCAACGGGCGTTCCTCACTTGCGGCATCAGCAACGCCCTGGATGGGTCCCAGGACAAGCTCTGCCTGCAACACAGGCGAGACGAGCTCGAGGGCGAGGAGGTTGACATTGATGATGAAATTGCACAGACGGTTTCTTCTGCAACAACGTAGAGGAACCTGAGTCGGACTCTGAAGCTGACCCAGATGACCCCACTGCAGCTGATGATTAGAGTAGGGTAGATTTCTAGAAAATGGTGAAGCCTGTGTGAAGCTCGTAAGTAGAACTAGATTAACTAGAAGTAGATAAACTAGTTGTAGATTAACTGACATGATATACTAGTGGATTAAATGTGTATAAAATGTCTTCAAATTAAAAAAACAACAAAAAAACACGGTGGCGGTTATATTGTGTACGGTTTAGGTATGCAGTTATAATATGTAAGCCTTTTAGGTATGCGCTTATAATCGAGCACCGGATATAAGCGCCACACGCCAATTAAAAGCGCCAGGCGCTTATCCGCGGGTGGCGCTTCTATCCGGGGTATGACGGTACCCTGTTTGCCCTGATGAGCGGCCAATTTTTCCCAGTTGTTGGAAACAATCGGTCTTAAACGCCTCTGTCGTGTCGAAATACTAAGACACAAAAGAAACGAAATATAACGAATCACCGGCGAGTCAACCCTCGGAGGTTGAAAGTAACTGTTGGAGGTTACGCGAAAGTCAAAGGTTAGCGACCTTTGACCTGCGCGACAGCAAGGACAAACAACTGACTCGGTATTGAGCAGTTGCCCGAGTCGTCACTGTATCGAACCGCAACAGCAATAGTAAAACGGTTATTAACTATATCTCTTTGTGTTCCTTGTACTCTTATAAAAGCTTGTATCTCTTTGTTTTAATCAACTTACTTTGCCCTCACATACTAGCGCAAGGTGGTTCACAACTCTTTAATTAACGCTTCCGCTATTACATCAACTCTATCCAGAGTTCACCCCTGCAAAGATCCTAAGGGGTTTTTCAGCCCAACATGGTATGATAGCTATCAGGGGGAATTCAACTTCTATACCGACAACATCAACAAGCATGGCTACACAAAAGGAAAAGAGCAACTCCAACGGCTCCCAGGGCACTACTCCTACTCCACCTCCTGCCTCTGGCCTACAGACAAAGGAGGGCACGGCAACAAGAGCCAGAGCAACATCTACCGAGACTCCCGTGAATCAACCTGCAGACTTCGACCAGAGCATGATGGAGAAGTTTTTCTCCTTCATGTCCTTCTACGAGCAACATCAGCAATCGGCACCTACGCAGTCACACAACAGCAACAACAACACCCATGAGTCTCGACGGCTCATCATATGCACGAGGAAATCAACAACAACAGCCTACCTTTGCTCCGTACGAGCGTGGGTCCATCAGCTTTATGCCACACCCACAGCCTTCACCTGGACAAGAAAAATCACTGGACGCATTACAAGTTCAGTCGCAGTTCGCACATGTTCTGAAGATGCAGACGTCGAGACCCTTCGATGGAAAGGACTTCTTCACCTGGTCGTTCGAGTTCGAGTTGATGATGGAAGGCGCGCAGATACTCGGGTTCTTTGATGGGTCTCTGCCATACCCAACAAACGGCACACAGTACGAGAAGCAGCAGTACACCTATCAGTCAATGATGGCGTACCCGATCCTACTGAGGAATATCACCCCGACTCAACAGCAGAACATAAGGTCTTACCGAGGTTACGGCAACTCCGCGGAGCTCGCGTACAACCACCTGAAGAGCCTATATCAAGCAACAGACAGCGTAAGCCAAAGTCGGTTAATGGCGCAACTGTCAACGGTTGAAATGAAACCAGGGGAGAAAGGAATGGCATATATCAGTCGATGTCGCGAGTTGCGAGACAAGCTTCATCGATGCGGAGGGTCGATATCTGAAGACGCCTTCGTGACAGTTATCATCGGCGGCCTCGGTCCTCAATGGCGCGCCACAAAGGCCATTCTCCGAGCTCACGGAAGAATCTCCGAAGCAGCGCTCTGCGCCGAAATCCA